TTTTTTTTTTTTTTTTTGGTACCAGGGAACAAACTTGTGCTTGTGAGGCAGACAACCGAACCACTGAGCTAAATCCCTGGCCCCTCCTCTGATTCTTATAATAACCTTGTGAAGCAGAAATGATACTATCATCAACTTTATTTTGCAGATAAAAGAATCCTCTTAAGTGACTTGACCAAAATTATATAGCTTTAGAATAATAAAAATGGGATGTGAATCTAGGTCTTCACCAAGACATCGTGTCATGAAATCCTGACACATTAAAAATATTCCTGGTTTAAGATGAGACGAACAATCCCTGAGGACCTCACAACTAAAGGCCTTGTGCATGCATGCTACACAAGTACTCTACTGCTGCTGTATTCCACACTCCCTATTTGCCCTTTTCACTCTACCCTTCTCATACTCGTATTATACAACACAGCTTCCTAGAAACAATATGATGTGTGGTGATGTCATCATTTTGAGGGCTAAAAGAATGTATGAAGTAGACAGGACAACACAGCTGTCTTTTCTTTTTTTGCTTTTTATACCACTTTATTCCAACCTGAGCACCTCAAAATAAAACTAAACACCGGTGAACTGTTTTCCTTGCTAATTCTGAATTAACTGTAAAATCTACAAGAGGTCTGCTAGGAATCTGACACTTAAATTAGTGCAATATACGGAACTTATCAAAATAAAGTGGACATCGTAAAACAAGGCTGCGAGACTAACATTGCATGTTTATGTTAAAAATTACAGATATAGTGCTTGCTATGGTTCTAGCCATGTAGGAACTGAAGTCCCTTTTTTTTCAAAGGGTAGGAGAATCAGCTGTTATAGTACCTGTACATTTTGTATACTTTCAAGCAACTCAAATATTACAGAAAAATAATAAACATACATGGAGGCTACAATGCAGTACCCTATTTACATTACAGCTGAAGATAAGATTTAAAACAATCAAGTCTGAATGTACATAATTGTTAGTGCACTAACTGTATTATGCCCAAAGGGAATAAAAGCTTCTTCCCTGCCCACAAATAAGACCTATGTAATGGTCCTCAGTGATTAAAAAAATCAGACACCTGGTTTGCTTCATTTCTGTTGAAGAGCTCACATGAAGGGAACACTATTCATTAAAACGCATTTGTCAGTTTTCATATTCCTAAATAAGGTGAAATTAACATCTGACTTCATCCCATTGAGAAAAATAAAAGGACTACCTATAATTTCGATGCTACTAATATTCCTTTTCTTCCTGGAGATGTGGGACTGTTTTCTCGTGGTTAACTTAAAATGTGGAATGTACACCTTAGATAACAGAAGAAAGTTTACCTGAATACTGTAGCTAAGCATAAATATCTTTATACTGTCTTTCTAAAAGTGTTTTTCAGAAAGCTCAAATTAATAATTTCTAATTTTTTCACAGATGATGACTGTCCCAGTTTGGAGAAACTGGATGGTTAAGTGTGGGTCCAGATAGTCATTTGTCTTTATTCTTAATGATGAGAAACGATTCCCTCCAACTTTCCAGTAAAACAAGTACACACAGATCTCATTTTCCCTTTCTATTGCTGAAACATTAGTCAGAGGGACACATGCATTTTATTAAAAATTAAGTTCAAAACACTTAAAATAATTCTGTATTAGAAGCTTGACTCTATCCTAAGTCTCTTGCTTTTGGGAGTCATACTGGGCTGGTTAAATGCTCCACTTCCACTGTTACTTAACATTTAGGAAGCAGAATATTCCAGCTAGTTCAAACTGGAGGTTTAGTTACACTGACTTCTGGTTGGTTGTGTAGGTTCAGTGAGGTCTATTCCTCTTCCTCTAGCAGAATTTGCTCCTGGATTCTGTGGTTCATTCTTTGGCAGTTTTTTAGCTATTGCCATGAATATTTCATTTACATTCATTGATATTTTAGCTGATGTTTCCACAAATAATAAACTGTTGTCATCTGCATAGGACTGTGCTTCCTGGAAATCTACAGCTTTTATTTGCTAGATCAGCCTTATTTTCCGATAAAGCTATTACAATGTTAGGACTTGCTTGCCTCTGAAGTTCTTTAACTCAGATTTGTTGCTTTCAAAAGATTCCTCATTAGTGACATCATATACAACTATGGCTGCTTGTGCTCCTCTGTAGTACACTGGTGGTGCTAGGCTATGGTATTGTTCTTGACCAGGTGTATTCCATATTTCAGCCTTTACTGTTGTGTCATCAAGATACATAGTCTGGGTTAGAAAAGCAGCTGAATCTGCAAAACCACTTTAATTTATCCAAAATGTCTATTTTCTGGCTAAGAACTATCACTTTCTTAGACCTCTTTATTTTCTCTTCACTTTCATCACTAGCACTAGCCGTTGGTTTTCTTTTCAGGCCCATTATTTCACAAAAATAGCTTTTATCACTTCGAGAATTACCTCAGTGGCACTCTCCTGAAATCAAGAAACTGGCCTTTCACAAAACGAAGCCCTAGGCTTGATTTGCCAACAGCAGACTCTCCCAGAAGTACTAGTTTGAACTGGAGTATTTTATTTCCAGTATTTGGCCCATTTAGGTCTTGTTGCTCCTCAACTCACCATGTCCAGCTTTGAAAACAGTCCCTAATTTCAGACTCCTAAATGAACTTCCAGGATGCAAGGTGTTGATATTTTTCTTTCTGGAAGTATAGAAATCTGAGCCCACATCACATGGAGTGGCGAGGCCGCAGCTTCCCAGCAGCAAGGCCCAGGCGTGGTTGGAAGAATGAAGGAGCCCAGCCTGCAGCTGTGGCGGTGGCTCCTCCTCATGCTGGCCCCCTCACACTGGACTGAGTGGGCTTGAGCTGTGGTGCCCTTCTTTATTTTCTATTAAAAAGCGGGGGGATATAGCTCAGTGGTATACCTCTTGCTCAGCATGTGTGAGGCCTGGGTTCAATACCGGTACTGTAGGAAGTGCGCGCGCGCACACACACACACACACTGAGGAGGGGGTCAGGGTCTCAATACACAGTCCAGGCTGGCCTTAAACTTACTACGTCATTTAGGTTAGTGTCAGACTCATGATCCTCCCTCCTCAGCCTTCTGAGTGCTAGGATATAGGTATGTACAATGCCTGTCTAGCTGTCTTTTTGTAAGCCAGATTATTACACAATTTATGAGAACATTAATGCCATTATTCTATTCTGGGAAGGATTGATAAACAGTTATTTTTCACAAAAATGTCCCTTATGTTAATAAGTAATGATTCTTTTTTCTTTTTCAGATGAGCCCTATGCTGCCTAGGCTGGCTGATTTTCAACTTGTGAGCTCAAGCAATTCTCCCACCTGAGGCTGGAACTACCCGCTTATTTTATTATTGATTGACTGGTTCCCTGCTTGCAGTACTGGGGATGGAACCAGTGTCTTGCACTGAGCTACATTCCCAGCCCTTTATATTTTTTGAGACCTTGTCCTGCTAAGTTAGTAAGGCTGGCCTCAAACTTATGATGCTCTTGCCTCAGCCTTCTGAGTAGCTACTAGTACAGGCGAACGCCACTTGGCCTGGCTTCCAGCTCATTAACATTTCTCTTTTAATTTTTAGTAAATATTAATAAATATAGCACGCATAAATAAAAGTTCTTGGGGGTATCAATAACTTCAAAGAATATAAACAGATAATGAACTGACATGGCGGCCACATGCCTGTAGCTACCTGGCAAGTTCAAGGCCCATCTTGGCAAATGAGGAAAAGCCGGTCTCAAAATAAAAGGGCGAAGGGTGTAGCTCTGTGATAGCTTTTCCTGGGTGTGTCAATTCCCAGTACCACAAAATAAAAGAGGACAACGAAGAAGAGGGGAGAAAAGGGAGGAAGAAGAAAAGTGAAACTACAAAAGAATCGAAGCTGGCCATGCTGAAACAACCCTAGCACTCTTGGAGATGCAGGAGGGAGGATTCCAAGTTTGAACCTAACCTGAGAAATTCACCACTTGAGATCCTGTCTACAAATAAAGAAAAAAAGGGGCTAGGATGTAGCTCACTCAGTGGGAAGGCCTTGGGTTCAATCTCCAGTACCCCCCCAAATTAAAAAATAAATTACATGCAACACTAGAACTCTGGGAGAGTGAGACAGAAGGATTTTAAATTTGAGCCAGCTCAGCTCGACCCGCAGTGTGACCCTGACCCAAAAAGCAAAACAAAACAGTGACAAATTATGTTACTCCTTTAAAGACACAGAACAATACTTTGCTTGAATATTACAAAAATGTTTCTCTAGTGATATCAATGCAGTCTAATAGGATTTAGTTTGACAAAGTTTCCCAGTCATGTATTAATGGAAGGTATTGCTGTGACTGAGAAAATATTAAAATTGAAAGAGACAGCAAGAAAGAGAAGTTTCAGGGCCAGGGATTTAGCTCAGTGGTTCGGTGGCCCGCCTTGCAAGCACAAGGACCTGAGTTCAATCCCCGGTACCAAAAAAAAAAAGAAAGAGAAGTTTCTCTCAAACCACAGTCATATTCTGAGTTAAAAGTTTTAAGTCTAATGTAATCAGCTAGTGGTAAGAGGCATTAATAGTTATTAAAATGAAAGTATCAGCACTTAAGAGCAAAACTCATATTTTTAAGAAAAATAAGAAACAAGTAAGACAGACATTAAATATGGCTTACTCACCGAGACATTTATTGAATCTTGAACATCTTTATGACTAACCAATTGAACATTACCATCTTCATAATAGTGAACCTGTATGAGACAATATTTAAGTTTATGTGTAGTTCATGTAAAAATCTACTGCTTAGGGCCCAAATCTATGCTTAGGCTATGCTTAAATTGGTAAGCCATCTTTATCAACTGTGAACAAATAAGTAATGTAACCAATGACAATTTACAATGGTACTGATTAAAACACATAGAAGGGTCATGAGTTTAAGGCCAGCCTAGACTAACTAGAACGTTCAAGGTCAGCTTGGATTACATAGTGAGACCATGTCATTCATTCACACAGAAAAATGTAAAGAAAATTCATAAAATACCAAAGTTTAAGAATTCTCTCTTAGCTGGGTATGGTAGCATATGCCTATAATTCCAGTACTCTGAGAGTCTGAGGCAGAAAGATCCCAAGTTTGGGCCTAGACTGGACAATTAAGCGACTTAGACCCTATCTCAAAATTTAAAAACAGGGGCCAAGGATTTAGCTCAGTGGTGCCCTGCCTACCTCACAAGCGCAAAGTCCCGAGTTCGATCCTCAGTACCAAAAAAAATAAAATAAAAAAATAAAAACAAACAAAAATCTCTTACCAGTGAGAACTGACTACTTATTAAAGTTAACAAACATTATGTGTTTTATACATTTCAGGCACTGTGTTAGAGATGTAAGTACAAAAATAAAGTGTTTTTTTTTTTTTTTGAAACAGGGTCTCAAGCTGGCCTTGAACTCACTTTGTGGTCCACTGGATTCAAACTTGAAGTGATACTCTTGCCTCAACCTCCAGAGTTCTGGGATTATAGGCATGCACCAGCAAACCCAGCAAGATACTACTTTAATAGTAGCAAAATAATTAAAGTAAAAATTTTAACTAGTTTTTCTCAGTGAAAAGCAAAAAAGTTTTAATAGATTCTAATACCCAATACATTTCTCCCTTTTATTTATAAATTATTTTTCAGTACGAGGGATTGAACCCAAGGTATTCACATCCTAGTCTTTTTAAAAATTCTTTTTTTTTGTGGTACCAGGGATTGAACTCAGGACCCTAGGCTTGCGAGGCAGGCAGCAGAACTACTGAGCCAAATCCCTGGCTCCTCTTTTTAAAAATTCTGAGACAGGCTCTCAGTATATTATTAAGTTGCCCAGGCTAGAGTGGACCTTTCAATTCTCCTGCCTTGGCCTCACAAAATACAGGGATTCCAGCCATGTGCCACCATGCTTAGCCCCGGATGCATCTTTCTTTTCTTTTCTTTTATTTTTTTGGTACCAGGGATTGAACTCAGGTCCTTGCATTTGCAAGGTGGATGCATCGTTCTAATAAACTCTCATCAATACTAGCAAGTAGATCTGACCAAGTATCGGAAAAGCTTAACTGAGGATTAAAGACAGTACTGAAAACAAAATATTTTATTGGTGAACTAGACTATAAAAGTTAAGTGCGATAAAAGCTATTTCTGGGGCTACACATGTAGCTTAGTAACAGAGCACTCGCTTAGCAAACATGAGACCATGGTCCCCAGCAATACAAAAAACCACAGACAAACAAACAAACAAACCCACAAAAAACCCCCTCATTTTTGAAGATAAAAGGTAAAGTAAGGTGTTACAATTACAAAAACAATTCTTAAGAACAAGAAATACATAAAAAAGAGTAGCAAATCAACTACTGTAAGGAAGCTCTGGAAGTTCTGGCAACTAATGACAGGTGCAATCATCTCAACATGGCTACAAACTGAAAACACAGAACAGGAGGGCACCTTCTGTTTAAGTGTATTGGAACAGAGTCTTCAACATAAGAGATACTGCCTAAGTAGACAAGGCAGAGAAGGGAATCTAGCAAGGGAAAAAAAAAAAGTATGAGAAAAGGGCTGGGGATTTAGCTCAGTGGTTCTGCTGCCTGCCTAGGAAGCACAGGGTCCAGAGTTCGATGCCCAGTACCAAAAAAAAAAAAAAAAAAAAAAAAAAAAAAAAAAAAACAACAGCATATGGTGGTTAACACCTGTAACCCAGCTACTTGGGAGGCCAGAGGCAGAAGGATTCCAAGTATAAAGCCAGCGTGGGCAACATGGTGAGGTCCTACCTTAATAGGGATGTAGTTCAGTGATAAGAGTGCTAGCCTAGCATGGATGAGGCCCTGGGCTCAATACCCAGCACCAAAAAAAAAAAAAAGTATGAGAATGGAGTAAAACTGATTGAGGGAAGAACAACAACTTCACTGCGAATGAATATATGTGAAAAGGAATGCTCTAAGAGACACAGCTATAAAGCTGAAGACAGGGCCAGGGGTGTAGCTCAGTGGCGCCCCGCCTGCCTGGCAAGTGCAAGGTCCTGAGTTGGATCCCCAATGGGGGTGTGTTGAGGGGAGAGGAGCAGAACACAGACTGCTACCTTATAAATCATCTCAGTTCAGACTTTTTCCTATTATAAGTAACTCTTTTATCTAGTACTACATTCTGAATGTTAGTGTTTTCCCCAAATTCTTTCTTACTGTTGCTGTTTTTGTTTGAGACAGTCACCTTATGTAGATCAGGCTGGCCTTGCATTTGCTCTATAGCCCATCCAGACTCACCCTGAACTCAAAATGATCCTCTTGCCTCAGTCTCTCAAGTGCTGGGATTATAGGTAAGAACCACTTCTGTCTTATGAGGACACAATATTTGCTCTGTTCACCAAATAAGGATGCCAGGAGGCAACAGCTATAAAGAACAGGCCTTCACCAGATACTAACCCTAGCGGCACTTTCATCTTGAACTTCTCAGCCTCCAGAAATGAGATCGCTACATTCTGTTGTTTCTAAATTACATAGTCTAAGGTAGTGTACTATGGAAAACTAAATGGACCTAGACATCTAGTGTGTATTACCAGGAGATAAAAAGATATGCTTTTAAAGCCAGGCATGGTGGTGCATGTCTTTAATCCCAGCACTCAGGAGGCTGAGGCAGGAATGCAAATTCCAGGCTACTCTGGGCTACACAGTGAGTTCAGGGACAGCCAGAACTACATAATGAGAAAACCAAAGAAATGTTTTAAAATATAGAGCAGAAAAGGTGAAGGGATGAGCAATAACTTTCATCCTCAGATAATATTTATGAGTCCTTACACTATTAGAGCTTCCTTTTTTTATAGTACTGGGGATTGAACCCAGGGCTACATGTATGCTAGGCAAGCATTATACCACTCCCTGTCATGCCATACCACGAGAGAGGTTGCCCTCAAAACTTGTGATACTCCTGCCTCTGCCTCCCAAGTAGCTGATTGTTACCTCATTTAATCTTTACATAAACCCAATGGAGTTAGGACTACTATTAGCCCTACTTTACAGCACAGGAAACTGAGGCTTGAGGTCATTTAAAAACTTCCTCATGTTCATAGACCTTCTAACAAGAGAAGCGAGGATTTGAAGTAAGTCAAACTCCAGAGTTAAAACTTTATCTAGCATGCAAATATTTCCCGATGCTGTGCTTTGTCAAAAAGTTAGAAGACACTTTGATACAGACAGAAAGGAAAATACCTCATCAAGAATTTCTTCTTTTGGAATATCATTCAAAAGGACTAAGTAAACAGCCAATCATTAGGCAGGAACCATGCTCCTATCTGAAACAAGGAGACCTGCCTGGGCAACATGAATCCATTAGATCCTTGTTTAAGGAACAAAAGTAGGTGTCTTCTTCAGTGTGGACAAGGAGTTAGCTCTGTCTACGCTGGCAAAAGAAACTAAGACTTTATACCTTTTCAAACCCTGAAATCTCACCTTTTGGCTTTCTGAAAGAAGCTAAAGAGAAAAAGACTAGTTAAGAATACACTAGAATTCTAGAGTGCTTGTCTAGAGAACATGAGGTCTGGGTTTGATTCCTGGCACTGGGGGGTAAAATACACTGGAAAAGCAGAAAGGTGGTAAATGCTTGGAAAACTTACATGCAAAAAATAGAACAGCAAACACAGGCAAAAATGACCAGCCTAACAAAATGGCTACAGTTCCAATAGGCAAGAACAAGGATATTCAAAATGGTGGGTCACATCCAAACAACTAGTTTTGGGTTTGTTTGGTTTTTTGGTATGGAATCTCATTATATTACACAGGCTGGCCTTGAACTTGCCACCCTCCTACTTCAGCCTCCTAATGAGGTATGACAGTAGGCAGTGCCACTGTACCCAGCATTAAAGGTTAAATATCTTAATGATTTTTCCAAACAATTCTCATTCTGGCTTTGAAAAAATATGTAAATGAAGCCTTCCTCCAAAGTATGATCAATTTATGCTTATAAAAGTATAAATGTCAGGAGGCTGAGGCAGGAGGATTGTAGGTTGGAGGTCATCCTGACAACTCCATGAGACACTGTTTCCAAAATAAAAAAGGGCTGGGGATGTAGTTCAGCAGTAGAGGATCTCTGGGTTCAATCCCCAGAGCTGGAAAAAAGTACAAATGCAAGTCTACACATTCAGTCCTGCTATAAAAATCTTATCAGAAATAATCACCCTTTATTATGTACACACACTGTTTACATTGGCAGAAAAATTGCTATATTTATTTACTAACTCTTGGGCTGGAGATATGGCTCAGTGTAGAGCATAAGGTTCTAGGTTCAATTCCTAGAACTACTTAAAAAAAGATGCAAAGGCTGCTTCCAGAGCTGAGAACTTGATGTTTTTACCTTTAACTTTTCTCATCTGAGTTGGGCCTGTTCCTGTGGCCAAGATGATACAGATATATGGAAAGAGTAAGTGCAGACAGTATCTACCATGTATACTTTTTTTTTTTGAGATGTGTCTCACTATAAAGTCCAGGGTGGCCTCAAACTTATGATCCTCCAGCCTCAGGCTGTTCAGTGCTGAGATGACAGGTGTGCACAACCACATACAACCAGCTCCATATGTACTTTTTATTCAATTACTCCATTAAAGAGGACAGCATTTGCTAATAGTTATTAAAGCAAGACAATATAATGTAGGTATAATGAGGTACTGATCTTTCTACTTATCAGTTTAACTACTAAATCCCGACTTAGGCTCCTGGATTTACAGAGCCAGTCCTCTTCTAGGATATGAAAAGACCTCAATTCAGGCAGTAAATGTGTTAACAGCTACCTTGTTTAACTGCCTGTCTGTTTTGACACCAACATTAGAAATAAACTTGGATGGGCTGTTTATACTTCATAACATGAGACACCTGGCCTTTCTCTCTAGTTCCTCTGTTTTAGTTCAATCGAATTTAAACCTTCTGTCAATAAAAAAACCACTAACAACAAAAAAAGCCTATTACAAGGTTTTCTTTAGAACTAAAAGCTAACGTGGAGAGACTAGAGAAGAAGGGAAAGTAAAAAGAATTAAGAAGCATTATGTACATGTACCAACTCCCCACAATGAATGAATGTAATTATGTACTGCAAACATACTAATAAAAATAAAAAACAGAAAACAAAAAATGAAGAATTAAGTGATGAAAGATCTTAAAGTTACAGCAGCTGGTATATAATAACTTTTTTTTTTTTTGGGTATTGGGGATTGAACCCAGGGCCTTCATACTTACTTATATTCTCATCCCTTGTTTTGTTTTTTTGGTACTGGGAATTGAATTCGGGCCCTTGTGTTTGCGAGAGAGGCGGTGGAACCACTGAGCCAAATCCCTGGCCCATCCCCATCCCTTTAAAAAAAAAATTTAATTTTGAGACAGGGTCCTGCTAAGTTGCCAGGTTGCACAGGCTGGCTAGAACTTGTGATCTCTCTGTCCCAGCTTCCCAGAGTGCTGGGATTACAGGAGTGTGTCACCATGCCCAACTATAGTTAACTTAATACTTAATTATTTTACTCTTTCCTAAAACTGCTGTTTGGTAATTCCTGGGAAGATCTTATCTTTGAAACAAAAAATAACAAGCAAGCAGTATACTCTATATGATTATCCTTTATCCATCCAGATTAACTATTCACCACCCCCTAGGAAGGAGGCCTCTATTCTATTCAATGACATTCGCTTCCCTTTCCATCTATAGATAGTTGTCTTTATTTATAATTCAAGATCATAAATCAACTTGCATCTTTATTTTAAAATATATTAACCATGATCTACAAACATGTTGGAATCTCACCTGGATCTTGAGCACTCCAACTACCTGGGCTGTAGATGGAGTGATGGTGAACTTCCATTCTGACCTCCAACGGCCATTCCTATTAAAACACACAATGCTGCAGAATTAGCAACAGGCATAAAAATGAGGTGACCTGTCACTGAGGCACAGAAACTGCAAAGGGCAGGGGCAAGGGACAGTCATTTACAAGTTGACAAACCAAAGCCTCTGTCTACTCAAGTATAAGTTTGGGTCCAAGGGCCTAACCATAAACCCTTTCTAAATTATTTGGACTTCTATTTTGCTTTTGTTCCCCATGGAGTAGAAACAAGCCTATTGTGCTCTTTGGGAGGCTCATCTAAAAATATAGTAGATGGTTAGGCTGCTGAGTTATATAATTAACTCAAGTATTACTAACCCAAATAAAATTTCATTAATCAATTGTTCTCACTCAGTATGAGAGTACTTTTTAAAAAAGATATAATTATGAAATCTTAGAATTGGGAGTCTAAACAATGTCCAAATTTATCACTTTATAGATGGAAAACTGAAATCTGTAAGTCAAATAATTTGTCCCAATATAGCTTAAAAACCAAGCCTCAACTCCTATTCAATATCAATTAGATACAAACAGAAGAGAATATCTATTTCTTACCAGAAATTTTTAGGCTGGAACTGGTGGCTTTCAATACATGCAATAATAGTCTGTTGCCCATCTATAGTTTTAGCATATACCTATGATTGGGAAAAAAAATAATTAGACTTGAAGAACATTTAATCTAAATGGCACACACTGTACAAAAGCAGTGTGCTGAATCCCTGAGGGACAGAAAGAACCAGACAAAATAAGCATAAAATTGTTTTCTTTGGATACGAACACAAAGGAGAATGTGTTAGGTTCTGGTAGAGACACTTATACAATGAATACAGAAGGAAATACTGCTCCTGGCTTAGAGTACCAGTGAGGTGTCACTTAGGTTGGGCCTTAGAAAACAGATGAAGTTCTGATAAGCAGAGAACGAAAAAGATGAAGAAAGAGCTCAGGCAGGAAACCAAGAACTTGTTAGGTGAATGGCAATTAGTTCCTTCAGGTTAAGACGGTGAATAGTGGGAGACAACAGGATTGTGGATTTGGGTCATGAGGTAACAGATGTAAGGTAAAAAGTTAAGACTATTCTATAACAATGGACAGACAGCAAAATAACACGACCAAAACTATTATTTTGGAAGAATAATCAATACTGATATATAGGATAATGCAAGTAAAGCTGGAGGTTGGTTAGGAGTCACAGAATTAATCTTCTGGGCAATGATCTAGGGTGGAGTCAGTGGGAATAGAAAGGAGGGGCCATGTATAGAATGCAGAAGTACAATCAAATTCTAGCAATATACTGCAAATGAAAGGAAAGAGAAGCCAAAGTGTTAGCACACTTGGATGACTGAAAAGATGGTGGTGTCATTAACATATTGGGAGATCTAGATACCTAGCTAGTAGAAACACCAACTTTTTCTTAGAATGGGAGAAATGAATAAAAATGCAACTGCTAAGGAAAAGCAAACAAACAGTGCTTTATAATTTACAAAGTAAGTTTTTTTACATATATTTTCCTTTATGTTTTTTATGTTCTTTCCTGTTGCTTTAATCAGTCTGATAAAAAAAATTGTTATCATCTACAGATGATAAAGCTCAAGTTCAGAGTTCTTTCCCAAATCACTCAGAATATACATGGTGAAGGTAAAACTCCAAACCATTGTTTTTGACACTAAAGTTTGTGCTACTCTATGTTGAATGGCTGATAGGCTTTCAAGAAAGAGAAATACAACTAAAAATTAATAAATTAATAAACTAAGAATTAATAAATTCCTAAATTTATAAAGGTAGCAGAGGAGAAAAGAAGTGACTAGAGACAGAGTAGAAAAAATGAGAGGGTGTTGATATATCAGCCAAAGCAAAAGACATTTCTAAAAGTAGTCAGGTGAGCTCGGTGTAAAATAACATACAAAGTCAAGGACTAAGAAAAGGACAATGGATCATGCAATTTAGAAACAATTAGTACTCTAAAAGACCAGTCTGTATAGCAGTGGTGGCGAACCAACAGCAGGCACACTGCACCAGGCTGTTTGTATCACTGAAAGTTCTAAAAGGTCTGCCATCACTGATCTGTAGAATGGGGACCGAAGTAAATAACCAAAGGTTATTTTCCTGTATTTTCCACAGTAGCACATAGCTACTGTGGCAATAACAGTGGTATGGGAAGAACATTGACTGGTTTGGTGGTAAAGGAGAGGAAGTCAGGAAGAAAGAGTACATAACTTAGAGGAATTATTATGATTGACAGATTTTTACCTTCCTTCAGGACAGCAGACTTAAGACTACTTCTACATAGTGAGAAATATTTCAGGAGAGAAAATGAAGTTACATGAAGATGTCTGAAGAACACAGGATAGCATGACATCAAGAATAAGGACCAGGCCAGGGATTTAGCTCAGTGGTGCCACTGCCTGCCTCACAAGCGCAAGGTCCTGAGTTCAATCCCTGGTACCAAAAACAACAACCAAAGAATAAGGACCATTCTTCCTCAGACTCAAGCAGAATGGAAGGGAAAAGGGAAGATTTCTGAGTGTGGAGAGAAAAGAAATAAAAACATTTCACATTAGCCTCAATCTTAATAAAGCTTGAGGGATTAGATGTCTACCTAAGGACAAAAGGAAATGACAAGAACATATTGCATGAAAGTATGATAGGGAATAATGCGAGGACATTATGGACTACTAAGCAGATAGCTGAGGATGTAAGACCCAGTGCACAGTAGATACCATCAGAGCAATTCCATTACTTTCTTTTTATTTTTTTGATACAGGATAACAATTCAAGGCCAGCCTGGCCTACATATCAAGAACCTGTCTCAAAACAAACAAACAAAAACAAAAAAATTCCTAAAATTTTAATCACTATTTTTCTTAATAATGTCATAATTTTATTAAGAAACTACGAGAGCCAAATTTATCATTTTTAGAGCCCAAGAAGTATACAGAAGTTACTCTTAAATTTATAAAAATGCTCAGTTCTAATACTTCAACATCCCACAAGAAAACATTTAAACTTATAAAGCACTTTTGTGTAAAAATACCTATAATACCAAAAAGTCATAAATATGGGCTACAGCTTTCCTAGTATCATTTTTTTCATTTTCCCCCATATCTTAAATTAAGAACCTCCCACCTTTTTCTTTTACCCAGTGACTTGACACCGGGCTATATCCCTATCCACCCCCCCACCCCTTATTTTGAGACAGACTTTAATAAATCAATTAAGTTGCCCAGGCTGGCTTGAACTTTTCAACCTCCTGCCTCAGCCTCCAAGAAGCCTGGGATTATAGGTGTACGTCACCACATTTAGCTTAAACTAAAGACCTTTAAAGACAAGTTTGATAGATGTAAGGCAACTTCTCATGAATAAATGAGAAATACGAAATAGGTACGTGGATGTACCTCAAAACCACAATGTTGTTGTTTTTTTTTTTTTCCCTTTGGTACTGGGTATTGAACTCAGGACCTTGCACTTGCATTTGCCTGCCATAAGCAGGTGTGGTGCCACTGAGCTAAATCCCCAGCCCAGAAATGTGAAATAGAATAACCTGGGATTTTAAACTATTATGCATCGGAATTTTAAAAAAGGAATTTTCCATATATTTATACTTAAAAAATGATTTGGGGTAAGACCATAACCAAGAAGACACAAGTAAAGTTTGGTGGTCCAAAGGCTCCACAGGATAAGGTAAACATAAGAAATAAAAATATTCTATGATAATGAAGCAGGCAGATACTTAACAGTACAGAAGCCGTTGGAATAATGATCTTTCACATAGGCTCTTAAAGCACTGTCACAGGATTCTCTCCAAGCCTTCAAACTTCCATCTATTTCCTCTGGCTGGGGGTCACTTGCTTCTTTCCGTAAGTGATCAAACTTAAAGGAAATTTTATTTCTTGGATCTAAAAATCTGCTATTACCCAGATCACCATGCTCTGTAATTAAAACCTTTCAGAGAAGAATTACAAATATGAGTAACTATAAAAAGACAGTTATCACATTTTACAAAACAAGTAACAGAGAAACTCTACAGACAATTTTTCATTCAGTCAAATTTCTTTCATACTGATTTTTCAATCAAGTCTAATTGAGTCAAGTTAATTTCAATCAAGTCTACTGTCAAGTGAGATGGTGTATGCATGCCTACAGTCCAGCTACTTGGGAGGGTGAGGCAGAAGGTACTTTTTTGTGTGTGTGGTGGTGGGGTTGGGGGCTACTGAGGATTGAACCCAGGACCTCTGCTGTGAGCCATCCAGTCTTCTAAAAACTTTTTTTAATTGTTAAGTTTTTTCACTTTGGTCTCACTAAGTGACTAAGTTGCCTGGGCTGGGCTTGTTTGTGATCCTCTTGCCTCAGCTTTCCAGTGTGCTGGTTAGAGGCATATTCTATCTCGCCTGGCTCATGATGGTCTCTTGAGCCCATGAATTTGACTAGGCAACGTAGCAAGACTGTTTCTCAAAAAGTAAAAAAGTATTATGGTGTGCTATATACATGTACTAACTCTCCATGATGAATGTAATCATATGTACTATAAACACACACTCATAAAACAATTTAAAAACATACTAAATATTAGTAAGGTAACTGGGCATGATGGTACATGTCTGTAATCCCAACACTCTAGGAAGCTGAGGCAGGAGGATCACAAATTTGAGCACAGCCTGAGCAACTGAGGGAGATCCTGGCTCCAAATAAAAAAGGGTGGGGAGAAAGTTCAGTGCAAAGACACCAAATTTGGTACCTAGTACCAAAAATAAACATATAAAAATGAGTCAATAAAACAAAAAATATAAATCAACTTTATACTACTGTAAATTTCTCCTCCTTCTAACCATACCCTTCATTTTTTTGGTATAGAATATATATATGTGTGTGTATATATATACTTTATATATATACACACACACATACATTTCGGGGGGCGGTGCCGGGGATCAAAGTCAGGCCCTTGCACTTGCAAGGCATGTAGGTATATATTTTATGCACAGCTCTAGTAATAACTTTTATGTATATTTTTGTATTTTTTTCACATTATTTTATGAAACTTTTCCAGTGTTATTATATTGAGCATTTAAAATAGCTAACACAGTCATATGTGTATAGCTCAGTGGTACAGTGCTTGCCTAGCAGGAGCGAAGCCCTCGATTTAATCCTTAGCACAATAACAATAATAACAAACAAATAAAGTGAAATCTCTTTGTTATCCCTACTTCCCAAGCAGCAAATTCTTCTTCGTTTTATTTAATTGAGTACTAATCTCACTATGTAGCCCAGGCTGGCCTCAACTTGAAATCCTCCTGCCTCCATTTCCAAGTGCTGGAATTACAGGTATGCATCACCTTTCTGGCCCAGAAGCAAACCCTTAAAATAACTTAAAGTAGCCTAAATTTCATAGGAATGCCTTTGTTTTCTCATTAACTATAATAATGTTTCCTGTTATTAGCAAGCAGACTAGAGGCAGCCAGGAAACTTGTAAGACTTAACTCCTTTTTTTACTTCTCTTGTGGTAGGAAGCTCTCCTTTTTGTCAAAGAAAGTTACTAGTATTATCAGAAAGAGGAAGAATTTCCCAATATGTACAATATTCATAAAAGTATGAAAACTAAGACATGAATTTATTCAGCATCTGATTCACAAATCCTTTTGGTTTCTACATCTCTACTACCTGCCAAGCATAGCTTATCTAACAGGCAAATTACCTGATCTTCATATCCTTCTATCTTCACAGGTGTGAACTGATCCATGTTATACTGGGCAAATGCACTGTTTAAAAAAATAATAAAAGTAAATAGTTTCTCTATTTTACCAACTGCTCAAGCCAAAAACCTGAGTCATCCTTGGCCTCTCCAGGTCTTGCCATGATCCTGCCAAGCATGCTCAATGCTCCCCACCACCTGCTCCCCTGAGGGCCTGCTGTTTCTAGTGAGGAGCATGACCAACCAACACCTCAAGCTTCCCGGGGCTGAGCACAGGAGCAGACACTGTCATTGCTGTGCAGCAGGATCTCAGTGCCTCCAGGATCAGGCAGCCACGGCGCAGTAACCCCAGGCTGTGTATGACAGATGCCCTGACTGCCCTGGGTTGGAGCTCTGCAGTTTCTGGGATGAGGAGGCTGCTACAGTTCCGAGTACTGAGGGTGATGTCTGAGGCCAGAGATCCACCACATTTCTCATAAACTACATACATAGCTGTATCCAAATGAGGAGTAGGACTGCTTCCCTGCCCTCAAGTTTCCTCTTCAAGAATCCTTACTTTCTTTTTGGAGACTGCATATGTATATCCTTTCTGCATCTCAGAGATGGAGAAAGTGGCCAAGCATGGAGCACCATCCTGATATGTGGGATAAAGACTAGGAGCTCCAAGCTAAAGGCTCATATCCAGAAGGATATTTATAAGGTCATTGCCTTCTCAGTGGGGAGCCAGCCCAGCATGACAGCTACTTCCTTGAGAGGAAGCCTGCTGGGGTGAGTCCAACTGTGCCTGGACAGCCAGGCTCAACCTTACTCCCATCTGTACCAGCCCCCAGTGGACCTGTTCTGATTATTAGTGCAGGAAAACACGAAGGTGACAGTCCTAGGAAAGGCCTCTGGAAGCCAGGAAAAGCCTTCACTGGAACCCAGCTCTGCTACCTACTTGACTAGAATTCTGGTTCCAGAACTACGAGGAATAAATGTACAGTTTATGCTGCCCAGTGTCTCAGTATTTTTTATAGCAACCTGAGCAGACCAAGTTGTAAACTGGGTTAGCCTTAGGGAAAACAACATGGCAAAGTTTAACACCAACAAAAAAAGTTCAGTACATGTATGTGGGCCATCCTTGACTTTTCTCATTTTGCACCTAATCTTAGTAAATCCTTACCCTCCTCATACTAGGGACTGAACTTCATATTAAGCTACTACATCCTAGCCTTCCTTTTTTTTGCCCCATTTTAAATTCTGAAGCAGGCCTAAGTTGCCCACTTGGGCTCAAACTTGTTATCTTCCTGTTTCAGCCTCCCAGAGTGCTAGAATTATAGGCTGGGGCCACTATGCCCAGCTCCATCAGAATTCTGTGGTCTTTTTTTTTGTTTTTTGAGACAGGGTCTCACTATGTAGTTGAGACTGGCCTGAAATTCACTATGTAGCCCAGGCTGGTCTCGAACTCACAGCGATCCTCCTGCCTCAGCCTTCCGAGTGCTGGGATTACAGGCACGCACCACCAAGCCTGGCTAGAATTTTGTGAGTTTTTTGAGACACCTCGCTATGTAGTTTAGCTGATCCTGAACTCATCAAGCAGCCCAGGCTGGTCTTGAATTTGAAGTGATTCTCCCGCTCAGCTTCCCAAGTACCCAGATTGTAGGTGTGCTCCACTTCACTTGACTCCTATCAGTAAATCTTACAGGTTCTACATTAAGTGCATATTCAGAATGTGACTTTCCCATTTCCACTCTAGTCCAAACCACCACCAATTACTCTTGAACTATACTAATTGTTCCTCTGCCCCCACATAGTGATTAGAATAATAATAACCAGTGGTTATTCTAAAATCTAAGTCTCACCATATTAGTTTGTACTGTTCTATCTCAGAACACTTAGCTCTGTCCTATCTCACTCAACATAAAATTCACGCTTCAACATGACCTAAAACATCTTACTTATACCGAAAGTGCTAAGAATTACCACAAATGGTTTCGATCATCAGAAAGATAGGCAGAAATTCAGGATGCTCCTAGATCTTCTAGGTACCAGGGATTGAATTCAGGACCTTACGCTTTCAAGGCAGGCGGTGGAACCACTGAGCTAAATCCCCAGGCCCAGGCCTCCTTTATTTCATATGGAAGGCAGTATTTGATGATTACTAAAATAATACTTACTGAGCGCTAATTATGAAAATTATGACCAAGAGATTGAAGCATTTCATTACAGAAGTTAAAAATGAACCCTCCATCACTATAGAAAATCAAATAATTTAGGTTTATGAAAATGTTTTTAGTAAGATTTTCCAAAAACTTAAGAATCTATAGAACAGAATATTTATACATATAAACATTAGTGCAATCAAAAGTGCAATCACTTTAGTATCAGTGCAATCAAAGTGTCTCAATTATATCCCAACTTCCACTCAGATCTAACAAGAAATAGGACAACAGGCTTAAGCTGTAAATACTCCTGAGTGGCATTCTACTCTCGATGTGCTTTAGCTATACTGTCAAGTGAAATAAAAATTATGTTTATTTTGGATATCTCTCAAGGATAAAACTAGAACCAAAATGTCAGGGAAAGTGAAGAACTTGCTTTGTAGGATGGGGAATTCCTTATTACCAGAGGATTCAGATTGGATAAGTATCTGTTGACAGATATAAATGAAGTGCAGTGAAAGAGCAGAGGGTTGAACTAGCAAATCATGAATGGTCTTTTCTTTTTCAGTTTTTTTAGTACTGGGCATTGAACTCAGGACCTTGTGCTTGTAAGGCAGGCGGGGCACCACTGAGCAAATCCGCAGCCCTTCTTTCTGTGTTTGAGACAGGACATACTAAGTTGCTTGCGCTGGCCTGGAACTCTCAACTCTTCTGCCTCAGTTTCCCAAGTAGCTGGGATTACAGGCACGCACTGCTGAAATCTGCCTCATGAACAACCTTTGCTATGGCAAAGTTTATACATCTAAGAAGAAAAGTAGCATTAGAGTTTATCTTTAATATGTGCCTCACTTTCCTACATAAATGTAAAACTAGGGTCATCATTCATGATGACAATTACAGTAATGATGTGTAAAACCTAGGTTTGCAGATTGTAATCCCAAAACAAATTCCATGAACAGGTCAGGAAATCTGTCTACCAGGCAGCAGCTTTCATACAGTTTTCTGCGACCAAGATCTAAACAGTTACATATCATACCAATATGGTCTTTATGATAATTATTTGTTATTTTGCATAGAAATGTCCTTGTCCTCCCCTCCCTTCCTTTGCTTAGCCATTATCCAGTTGTGTTCTCCTCTTTACAAAAGAACCCTGGCCTAATTGGGTAGACAGTAACTGACACAGAGCTTTGGGTTGAACAGTAGAGTAGTGACAGGGATCCTTTAAAGTCAGAGAGCATTTAGATTTGATTTCACCCTCATTGATGTTTTTGAGGTCAAGGGCAAAATAAAGGTGCTGTTTTAGAAAGGTTAGTTAGCTTGCCAGTGATTAAGGGTCGGTGACTAGTTGGAGCAATCAGGTTTTTATCTATGGTTAATTCTGGTAAAGTACTTTATGATATTTTTTTGTTAATTTCTTAAACTATCAATCCTTATCAGCAGCTTAATCTTTCTATAACTAGCAGTTAAAAAAAATTCAACACTGACCTAGAAGAATTATAAAAGAAAATCTAATAGCTAACATTAAATTCTGCTTTAATAAGGAAAATATAGGCAAAATAAATTCATACCAGGAAAACATGTTTTCTCTAAGAAATGAACAAACAAAAAAATAAAACAGGATGGACAGCTTTAAGTATTTTTGGGGGCGGGTACTAGGGATCGAACTCAGGACATTGTGCTTGCAAGGCAGGCGGCAGCACCACTGAGCTAAATCCCCGGCACAGCTTTAAGTATTTTAAACTTGGTTTTCAGGATGCGAATTTACTGTCACTATAGTATACTACAGTTTACAGAATAATGTTGTTAAGTAGATTCAGAAAAGGTACTTACTGTGCTGCCCCTTCCCTGAGGAGATTGTCATTGTTAAGTAGTAGCCGGACATCTGAGGAGGAAAACATGTTGAAATGTTCAGTATCACAAACATGTTGAAATACTGGGTACTGCACAAATTTGACAAATTTTAGCACATCTAGAAAAGATTTTCGGGGGGAACACTTTTGAGACAGGGTCTGCCTATGTTGTCCAGGCGGGCCTTGTACTCACTACATAATCCAGGCTGCCCCAGAATTCATGCTCCTCCTGCCTCATCCTTCTTAGTGCTAGGATAACAGGCATATGCCATCATGTTCAGCTAGAATAGACTTTTAAAATCCAGACTTTTGAGAGGTTAGTTTTCAGATATACTGTATGTGTAGAAATTCTATAAACCACGATGAATAGCTGTTAATGTTCACAGTTTTATATACAACTATTATTAGTACTACAGCAAGTCAACAATAAATTCTCAAGGAATTTCATAGCAAAAGAAGAATAAGGTCTGCAAAAGGTTACAGTTAGGACTACTAATTAAATTATTTACTTTTTATTTTTATGGTGCCTGAGACAGAACCCATAGTCTCACACATGCTAGGCAAGCACTTTTATCACTGAGCTACAGTCCCTAGCAGTAATACTATTTAATGATTTATTTAAAATCAGCCTACAGAGGGTGGGGATGTAGCTCAGCGGAAGAATGCTTGCCTAGCATGCGCAAGGGCCTGGGTTCAATCCCCACTACCCCTCATCCACCTACACACAAACACATACACACAAACACACACACACAGCCTAGATTAAGAATTACAGGACTTTTCATACCAGATCAAGAAAGCTGGGCATAATTCTGTCACTGGCCTAAAATCCTGACATATTTTTCTCTGAAGAATCTAATACTGCTTAGGGATCCACAACTTTTTAAAAAGCTGTGTGTCAAACTGTCTAGTCATTTTTTTCTGTTACTAAGGAAACATCAATCCCAGCCCATTGTTTCTGGTTTTTGTTCTTGTTTCTTCCTTCTTTCCTACCTTCTTCACCAGTTTCCCCCAAAGTTTGCATAATCTTCCTCTGTCCTTTAGCTTTGGTTCTTTCTAATCTCTTTTATTTCTGTTTTTTTCCCCCTAACCCCTTTTAAAGGGGTAAAGTCACCGGACTGGGGGGATATTCATTGTATCCAATTTTCTGGTTGGTATTAGATTTTATTATATAACCACAAATATAGTCCATAAATTGAAAAGTGGCCAAAAAACCAAAAACAAAACAAAAACAAAAATACAAGCATTTATTCCAAGAGGGAACGCTGACTCTAGGCCAAAGGGTACTGATTCTGACAACTTCTGAGAGAAGAGTCTGATGGTGGCAGTGGGTGCCAATATAAAACGCAGACCTCATTCCTAATCTTATGCTTTGATTACAATAATTCTCATGGTACTCTTATAAAGTACATTCAGTTGTCAAAAGTAAAACAAAGGATTTTTAACTATAAGACATTAATTTTGCAAAGTCATGAATTATATGAGCTACATGTCAAGTTTAAAGAGAATTTTATAAAAGTTCAATTGTTCAAAGTTTACATTTAAGGGAGAAAGACCAGGGAGAAAATGGCTAACATTGTCTCCCTTACTGTCAGGGTTCAAAATCGAGATAATCTTTATAAAGATATACTTCTATTATATTCTGTATTTCTTGTGATAAATGTTTGTGTTTCCCCTAGTTTTTTTCTGTACCACTGATTTTACCAATGGAAATTACTGAATATGATACCATGTTTGGGGCTTTGGGCCAGTTACAGATAAATATCATATAGCTCCTTCCTCTCAAGTAACTAACCTTCCAATATAAAACTAGAACCTCAAAATAAATGTTTGCTAAAGGGAACCAGGAGGTACAAAAATGACTTGACTTACAGAGAACTTAAAAAAAAATCTTGTAAACTGTGTTAAGACAGTGGACAGTATGTTTTCATTTCTGCAGTACTGGGGATTGAAGCCAGGGGCCCTCTACCACTGAGCTACAACCCAGACCTTCTGAGACAAGATCTTGCTAAGTTGCCAAGGCTGCCCTCAAACTTTTGATCCTCTTGCCTTAGCCTCCTGAGCAGCTGTGATTACAGGTGTATGCCACCATGCTCAGCTGTGTATAGTGTGGAAGACTGTGATGTACTAGACAGTGGTTTGAAAACTGGCTCATTCAGAACTACCTTATAAAGAATTTCATAAGAAAAAGATTATCCAATTATGTTTCACATCAAGCTGTGTGTTTTGGCATATGCCCATAATCCTAGCACTCTGGCATCTTTTGCAGGAATACTGCAAGTTCAAGACTAGCCTGGGAAAATTAATTAGCAAGACCCTGTCACAAAAAAAAATTGGGAAAGAGCAAATAAATATATGAATGTTCAACATCACTGTTGAATATCGAGAGATGCAAATTAAATTAGTGTCTCATCTGTAAAATTGGAAAAATCACACTGGCATTATTTGCCTTAAAATGATGATAAAAAAGTGAATCACCAGATTAAAATATTTATAACTGGGTGGGGGATTTAGCTCAGTGGTTCCACCACCTGTCTTGCAAATTCAAGGTCCCAAGGAGTTCAATCCCTGGTACCAAAAAACAACAGCAACAAAACCAAGATATTTATAATTAAAATGTTATGACCTTTAAAAAAATATTTTGGGGATATAGGTTGTTTTGAAGGCTCTGGATTCCATCTATAGTGTAGGGTGGGGCTCAGACCTATACACACACACAAACAAACACAAAAATCCTACCACAGATCTAATGAATATAAGCCTCCCAAAAGCAGTTAGTTCAGCCCCATTAGCCCCAACTTGTCATATATTATGGGACTTTTTGAGTGAAAGCACTGAGGAAAGTTTGTTTTGTTTTTGTACAGTATTGGGGATTGAACCCAGGGCCTTCACAGTATGTCCTTATATTTATTTATTTATTTTTTTTTTTGAGACACGTTCTTGAAAAGTCACTAAATTGCCCAGGCAGGGCTTAAACTTACGATCTTCCTGCCTCAGCCTCCTAGAGTGTTGGGATTATATGTATGCACGGCCATGCCTGGTTTAAACTGTTACTTACAATGATAAACTAAAACTGTCAATCAAGTACAGTGGTACACATCTATAATCCTGGCTACTTGGGAGGCTGATGTCAGAGGATCACTTGAGCCCAGGAATTAAGAGACCAGATTGGGTAATGTGAGATTCCATCTCAAAAAAGAAGAAGAAAAAAAAAAAAAAGTCTCCCCAAATAATACTATAAATGCACTTTAATGTTACTTCTACAGTTTTAGTATTAAACTATCTTTTATTACCTAACATAGGAATCCTAGTTTATGGGGAAAGAGCTTGCTTTTGACTCAAACGTGGAACTGAATCTTAACTTTGATGCTTAGTTGCTGGGTAACCCTGGACAAATTCTTTTCAATCTCTTCAATGTCAATTTCCTTAGCTATAGCTATAACATGTCACAGGGATTAAGATGTAGCAAGCACTCAATAATGACAATAATTAACTAGGATTTAAAATAACTGAATTGTAATCTTTACTCACCATTGAATACTTCGTTAAACTCCCCTGGGGGTGCATGAGTGATGAATTTAGCAGCAATGCGTACCTAAAGAGAAATAAAAATATCAGTAAATGTACTGTGAAGAGTAACATATAAAAGAAGGAATGAACAGAGACAAGGATTTAGCTCAGTGGCACTGTGCCTGCCTTGCAAGCACAAGGTCCTGAGTTCAATCCCTGGCCCCCCCCAGAAAAAGAAGAACAGATTTTAAAATTTTATATCTTAAACATACTCCAAACCATCCAATCAATGTAAGTATATTCTGATTTTAGAGTACAGTCCATGGGCTGGGCATGGTAGCTAACGCCTGTAATCCCAGCACTCGGGAGGCTGAGGCAGGAGGATCGCTGTGAGTTCGAGACCAGCCTGGGCTACATAGTGAGTTCCAGGTCAGTCTCAACTACATAGTGAGACACTGTCTCAAAAAAACAAAACAACAACAGCAGCAAAAAACCAAACAACAACAAAAAGAATATACTGTATGTGCTATTTGGTCTTTTTACATTTTTTAAAAAAGCTAAATAATTAGTTTTTGGTAAAAATATATTCACAAAAAACAAGCTATGATCCTGTTTAAATTATAAACATTTAAGCAATTAAAATATCAGCAAAGGAAATTACAAACCAAATAGTGTTTATCACAGTGCAAGGAGTTTTTTGTTTGTGAGTTCTTTTGGTACTGGGGATTGAACTCAGGACCTTGAGCTAGCAAGGCAGGCATGGCACCACTGAGCTAAAACCCCGGGTCCAATGCAAGGATGGTTTAATACTAAGAAAGTAATGTTATTTACCAATCAAAGGAACAAAATCATGTGATTACCCCAACTCATGCTGGAAAAAAATGATAAAATTCAACACTCATCCCAACATCATAAAACAACAAAACTACCAGTTTTTAGTAGGAGTAGAATAAACTTCTTTGACTTGATAAGTGGTCAAAATTCTATGACAACTCTCATAATGAGAAAACATAAGCACTGTCACTAATTTTGGCAGATATGTACTATCTATTATTCAACACTGCACTAAATGTCCTAAAAAGGCTATGAAAAATTATTTTTTGTGTTATTTACCCTGTCCTCCCTCTTTTGCTCCCTCACAAGCATTCTTTTCTAAATCACCTATTATAAATGGATAATTAAAGTCAGGATCTAACCTGCATATCTCATTTTTTCTCCTACAACTTTTTTTGTTACATTATGTTTTGGGAGAATTCCTTAGCTCCATTTTCTAGTTTACTAATACACTCTTCAAGAGTTGTGTTCGTTTTACTGTCAATTATTGACTTTTCTAATTTTTTTTTTTTTTTTTTTTTTGAGACAGGGTCTCACTATGTAGTTGAGACTGACCTGGAACTCACTATGTAGTCCAGGCTGGTCTTGAACTCATAGCGATCTTCCTGCCTCAGCCCCCCAAGTGCTGGGATTACAGGCATGAGCCACCACGCCCAGCTTTCTAATTTTAATTTTCAAAATTTTTGGTAATTTCCTTTTACGTGCCCACTATCCTTGATGAAGACATTAACACACTTTTGGTGCTCCTCTCAGCTTGCCTGTTCAGTCTATTTATGGCTTGTCTCTAGTCACTGGATGGAACACAAGGAGTAGACTTGCTGCTGATCAGGGTGTGTTAGCCTAAGTGCCACAGGCTATTTGGCTTTTTTTTTTGGTACTGGGGATTGAACTCAGGACCTTGCGCTTGCGAGGCAGGCGGTGGCACCACTGAGCTAAATCCCCGGCCCTGTCACAGGCTATTTGGGACATTGCCCGGCTTCTCTGGTCCAGTGGCCACTATGGATGCTATATTCTGAGAAGAAATACTGTACTGTTTCTGTATGCAAGATGGTCCAAATAGGAAAAGGGGTATAGTCAAGTGGTCCTCCTCGTAAGACAGGAATTCTCCAATTAATCTATTCCAAGATTGTTCTGAGTCCTTTCCTTTCTGCTCCTCAAACCAATGTAGTTCCTCTGAAAGAGCTATTTGTCAATATTTACATATATTTATATTTAAGATCATGTCAATAATAGTAATTAGGACAATTCAAATGGGTCTCTCAGGATACATACTATAAGAGAAATGATACTGAAAATTCTCTAATGTTTAATAGTAAGTATAAAGATGATTCAACTCACTAATGTGAAGCTAAGAGGAACATGGTACATCTAACAAGTAAGGTAAGCCCTACTTCCAAAAAGGTACCTTCTATTAGCATCTTTACTTCTTTTTTAAGACTTTAAGTGCTTTCTATTTCCTCTTTGCCACATTGGAGTTTGAACCCAGGGCTTAGAACAGGCTAGCAAGTACTTTATCACCGTGTTACACTCCAGTCCTCTTTGAATTTTATTCTGAGACAAGATCTGATCAATTTGCCCAGGTTAGCCTTAAATTTACAATCCTACTGCCTTAGCCTCCTCAGTACCTGAATATCTGGGGCTGAACAGACCTCCAATTGCCTGGGCAAGGGTACAATGAAGGATAAGAGACAGAAACAGTAATTTAGAATGCAAGGGGGAGGGAGATATGCCTCTAGTGGACACTCTCAATAATCTCACAGTGGGTCCACTTTTATTAGCCAACAAGAAGCACAGGGGGAAGGAGTTGTGTATCATTAGTGGAACAGTGACACCCAGGAGATGTCAGTAAATGTGTAACCAATGAGTAATGGGGAAGTGATCTTTCCCTCTACTCAGATGCCTACATTCTATGTATTGTCCTCAGAAGTTCTTTTGCCCTAGTAGTGTTGTGCTTATGAGTTTTCCTACACATAGCCAGAAAGCCTGTGGTTTTTAAAATTAACTTTACTGTTCCTGAAGCAAATTATATAATCCTTGGACTCTATGGGACCCAAATCATGTAGCCTGATCCCCAACACCTGCGATTACAGTCACCAAACTGAAGGGAGGTGTGGTGGTAGTGCAGGTCTCTAACCCCAGCACTCTGGGAGGGTGAGTAGGAGAATAGAAAGCTGGAGCCCAATCCTACACAATTTAACAAGACTGTCTCAAAATAAAACAAAAAGGGTTAGGGGATGCATCTGAGTACAAAAGGCCTGTGTCCAATCCCCAGTACCACAGGACCACACACACACACACACACACACACAAAGACACTATTACTGCTATTATTTCTGGAATGCCCTAAACTGTTCAAAAGTTACAAATCTAATGGAATTGATACAACTGAAATAATAGCAGTTTGTATAATGAATGAACTGATACCGCATATAAAGAAGAGTTTACCCATTCAAAAAACTAAGAAGAAAAGTACCAGTAAGTAAAAATTGAAGACTAAGACACTGTCAATGCCCTCAAGGATCTGACAGCTAGACAGTAATAGAACAAGCAGGTATTAAATGCAGAGCTGTTCATAGGTGCAATCAGCTCTCTCTAGCATAAAGGGAAGCAATGATGTTTGAGCTGGGTTGGAGACAGAGTAGATAGAATAGGGAGGGCAATCTAGGCAGAGGAAAATATATACAAATTTGGACAACATATTATAACAAACACGTATGGAGATACTAAAGTATATAGATAATAAAAAGTTTCAAAAATGTAAAGCAGTGCTATTCTTCATACTAAAAAAATTTTTTTTTAAATAAAGCTCTTTGTTATAAAAATTCAATCATAAATATGAACATAATACTGGGCCATGTATTCAGCTCAGTGGTTCTGCCATCTGCCTCACAAGTGCAAGGACCCAAGTTCGATCCATGGTACCACAAAAAAGAAAAAAAAGTGAACATAATAGATGAGCTCAGCACCATGATAGAAGCCATGAAGGCCCAGCATAAGAAAGAAATGGAAACAATAAATGCCCAACATAGGAAAGAAATGGAATCCATAAAACAAATTCAAACAGATATCCAGGAGATTAAACATTCCAATGAAAGTGTACACAACAGAATAAAAGAATGTGAAGATAGAATATCAGATATAGAAGACAAGATGGCAGTCACCATGAAAACAGAGGCCTCTTAAAAACAGTAGGGGATCATGAGAAATTGATCCAGCAACTCCTAGATGATGCAAAGAAGAATAACATAAGACTGATAGGAATCCATGAAGTAGCAGGAGAAAATACAAATGACTTAAAAAAGCTGTTCACAGAATTAATGACAGAAAACTTCCCAAACAGAGGGGAAGAATTTGACATTCAGGTAAGTGAGGCATATAGAACTCCAACTAGCCATGATAAAAAAAAAATCTACACCTAAATATATAATAATCAAGATCCCAGAAATCCAACGGAAGAACAAAATACTACAAGCAATAAGAGAAGAGAAACAAATCACATGGAAAAGAAAGCCCATCAGAATCACAGCAGATTTTTCAACATAAACCCTTAGGTCAAGGAGAGCCTGGAAGTGAGGTATTTCAAGTCCTAAAAGAAAACAACCTGCAACTTAGACCGATGTATCCTGCAAAACTCTCTTTCAAAATGGATGGGGAAATAAGATACTTCCAAGACAAACAACACCTGAGAAACTACACAAATACCAAACCAGCACTATAAACAATTCTAAACAATATCCTAGAAAAAGACAATGAAGGTTACAACACCAAAAGGCCCAACAGAGCAAATCAAATAGGCACGGCAAGGCAAGAAACTAAAAGGAGAAGGTGAAAAAGTAAAGAGTCAACAAAAGGCCTTAACAGGACAATAATAAGTCAGCACATATCAGTTATAACCATCAATTTCAATGGCCTCAACTCACCAATCAAGAGAAATAAACTGGCAGAATGGAAGAAGCAAAATCCAACAATATGTTGTATACAAGAAACACACCTACTGCAAAAAGAAGCCCATAGACTGAAAGTGAAAGGATGGAAAACAATTCTCCATGTGACAGGAGCCCAGAAAAAAGGCAGGGGTAGCACTCTTATTTGCAGACAAAGTAAATTTCAAACCAAAACTGATTCTAGTAATACAGATGTAGGACAGTACTGTATCATACCTGTGTAAATGTAAAATATCTTGTACCTGCTTTATGATATGTAGTAGTGACCGTGCTTTATCAGAGCTATTTTTAATGATGTTACTCTAGA